AGCCAACCGCCCGGCCACAACAGGCCAGCGGTCCGGTCCAGGCCGGTTCAGACCGGTTCAGACCGGTTGGACCAGTTCAGGTCATATTTTCATGTTTTTAGTCCCGGTTCAGTTCAAGTCTCATTTTTCAGTTAGAATTACAGGTCCAGTTCAGTTTAGGAAATTAATATCAGTTCAGTTCCGTATTTGACCGGTTTCAGTTATACCGATTAAATCCAAATATCATGTCGAGTCCAGTAGAGCATCTTAACATATTAAACCGATATTTTTATCAGTCTGAGCATAGTACTTAGTAATTGTTTATATTATATTTCAGTTTGATCATACTTTAGATATCAGCACTGCCTTTCATTTTCAAAGGATCAGGTGGGGACTCAGACTGGGTATTACATTGATTATAATTACGCTACCATGTTTGAGGTATGTATTATCAGTATCTGCTCGGAATGGTCGCCGGTCCATTTTGGGTTCTAGTGGCCTTAGTCTTCCCACTAGAGTGTGCACATGGTGTCCGTCATTTTTATGCTGGCAGATGTTCAGTTATCAGTCACGTGATGTTTATCACGTGATCAGTATCAGATTATTCACTACCGGTATCAGTTATCAGTTTCAGTTTCAGTTTAGTATCAGTTCAGTTATATATGTCAGGATCATGATATTGTTATTATTTTCACTGTTTACTTTAGTATGAGTTTTTGCGGAGCACAGTGGATTAGTGCTCACGCTCCCACATTATTCATGTTTTTCAGGTCACAGTGTCAGAGCCGAGGAGTGAGTTGGCGACCAGTTCAGGGCATTTGTATATATGTATAAATCATGTTTTGGCTACACTATGATTCTGCTACTGTTTCAGATTACCAAATCAGCTTTTGGTCCGATGTTAGTCGACTATTATATTATATAATTGTTTTATTATTAAACTCAAATAACGGTTTTCAGATAAAAATCAGATTTCACGGTAACACTCCGAATCAGATTTTGCAAAAAAATATTTTTATTTAGAAATTTTTGCGAAACGCGCGCTCTAAATTTCATGTCAAAGCAAGGTGTTACAATTGGTATTAGAGCATGTTTCTGCGTTTCTGAAAAGTTTTACGAGTCAGAAATTTTTGAAAAACCTGAACCGTCACGCTCACGCCTCACCGACTACAGGTAAGTGTTGATTTATGTTTTAAATTATAAACGAATTACTTTGTCTATGCTCAGAAATTTATTAATCATGACTTAGTTAAGATGCTCGAATCAGGTTCAGAACTTATAGTTCAGTGTATTCAAATATAACTCTTGATTTCCTCAGGATTAATGTCCGTATTTTTCATTCATGTTTGGCAACAAGTCAAGAGATCTTTGTACTTCAGTCATCAGTTAGAGTATTTTTCATGTGTTCAATAATGTTGAACATTTTCAATGATCAGATGCCGCCCCGTAGGGAACCCGATCGCCCAGTTCTTCCCCAGGCCACTATAGTAGCACAGTTCCGCGACTATCATCCTGAGAAATTCTCCGGTCAGGGAGATCCCCGTATTGTGGACGAGTGGATTAAGGGCCTTGAGTTGATTTTCGAGGTCATGGACTCTCCCGATCTCTATGGCGTTATATGCTCACAGCTTCAGCTAACCGGTGATGCCCGACTCTGGTGGAATGCTTACAGGAGCATGCGTCCCGGTGAGAATGAGGGTTGTACCTGGGAGAGGCTCAAGGAGCTAATCCGCGAGAAATACTATCCCACATACTACCGAGCAGAGATGGAGCGACAGTTCCTGTCGCTCAAGCAGGGTACTCGTTCTGTTGATAAGTACGAGAGAGAGTTTACTAGACTTGCAGCTTTTGTTCCGGACCTGGTGCATATGGAGGCACAGAGGGCACATCGCTTCATTGACGGGATTTACCCAGCAGTCAGTCACAACATTGTAGGTCACGGGACCCAAACCTATGCTCGTGCTGTTTCGATTGCCCAAGAGGTGGACGCCAGCATCCGGAGGAAGGCAAGCCACGATCGTTCTCAACCATCCGCCCCCGCCCAGTCATCCACAGCTCCATCAGCTCCACAAGCTGCCCAATTGACGAAGGATAAGAAGAGGAAGGGGAAAGGCGCCCAGACCGACAGGAGGACCCGCCAGAGGCAACAGCAGGTTCCACCGTGCCCCACTTGCGGATGACTTCACCGCGGCGAGTGTCGCTTTGGCCAGGATATGTTTTACTATTTTCACAAGCCCAGACACTTTGCTAACCGTTGTCCGAAGAAGGCACAGCAGCTTCCTCAGCAGCCTCAGCAGCAGCAGCAGCCCTGCCAGCAAGCTCAGAGGCCACCCCAGCAGCAGCAGCAGAGGGGCAGACAGCAGGCCCGAGTCTATGAGTAGATCAGGCTGAGGCAGAGCAGCAGCCAGGTACCATGTCAGGGATGCTTATACTTAATGATGTTCTTGTTTCCGCCCTGTTTGATACTGGAGCAACGCACTCTTTTATTTCACGACGATGTCTTGATGCCATCGGAGTTCATGCTATTGTCGTTGTCAATCCTCTCGAGGTGAGTTTAACCTCGGGACGAAAGATAGTGACCACTGCTAAATCTTCAGATCTCACCCTTTCCATAGGTGGTCGTATATTGTCTACCGGCGCTTATGTTCTCGAGATGAGGGATTTTGACCTCATTCTAGGTATGGATTGGCTATCCTATTATCATGCAGATATTTGATGTCATGACCGGGAGATTACTCTCTATCTTCCAGGAGATGATCTGATTACCTTCTTTGGCACCAAGAATCGTTCCTTACCTCATGTTGTTTCGATGGCGAAAGCCACCAAGATGCTGCGACGAGGCAATTGTCAGGGTTATCTGGTGAGCCTTGTCGATGACTTTCAGAAAGCGCGAACACCTCACGACGTTCCAGTCGTTCGTGAGTTTGTGGACGTGTTTCCAGACGAACTTCCAGGTGGACCGCCTAACCGGCAGGTAGAGTTCTCTATTGATCTCATTCCAGGAGCAGGCCCAGTATCCAAAGCCCCATATCGAATGGCGCCGAAGGAGTTGCAGGAGCTTAAGGCGTAAATTCAGGAGTTATTATGACTCGGTTTCATCCGGCCGAGCGTGTCACCTTGGGGAGCACCCGTTCTCTTTGTCAAGAAGAAGGACAGTTCCATGCACATGTGTATCGACAACCGGGATCTTAACCAGTTGACGATCAAGAAGAAGTATCCGCTTTCCAGGATCGACGATTTATTTGATCAGCTGAGGGGAGCCTGTGTTTTCTCAAAGATCGATTTGCGATCAGGTTACCACCAGCTGAAAATCAAGGAGTCAGATATTTCTAAGACCGCTTTCCGTACTCGTTACGGCCATTACGAGTTCGTCGTCATGCCATTTGGCCTCAGTAATGCTCCAGCGGTTTTCATAGACCTGATGAACCGTATTTTCCATCCCTACCTCGATCATTTCGTTATTGTGTTCATGGATGATATCCTTATCTACTCAAAGAGCCAGAAGGAGCAGAAGAAGCATCTGAGGGTTGTTCTCGAAATCCTCAGACGAGAAAAGTTATATGAAAAATTCTCTAAATGCGAATTCTGGCTCCAGCGAGTAGTTTTTCTTGGCCATGTCATTACTCAGGCAGGTATCGAGGTAGATCATTCCAAGGTCTCAGCTGTTCAGAACTGGTCGACACCGAAGAGTCCATCCGAGGTTCGCAGTTTTCTCGGTCTAGCTGGCTATTATCGCAGGTTCATCGAGGGCTTTTCCAAGATTGCCCTCCCTTTATCCCAGCTGACGAGGAAGTCTGTGAAGTTCGAATGGACTGACCAATATGAGTCGAGCTTTCAGGAGCTCAAGAAGAGATTAACTTCAACACCGGTGTTGACTATTCCCGATCGTTCTTGGAGTTTCACCATTTTCAGTGATGCTTCGAGACAGGGTTTGGGATGCGTACTCATGCAGGATGGCCAGGTTGTTGCTTAGGCTTCACGCCAGCTCAAGCCACACGAACAGAACTATCCGACGCACGACTTGGAGTTAGCCGCAGTTGTTCATGCTCTCAAGATATGGCGACATTATTTGCACGTCGGTCGATGCGAGATTTTCACCGATCATAAGAGCCTGCAGTATATTTTCACTCAGAAGGACCTCAACATGAGACAGCGCCGTTGGCTGGAGCTTGTCAAAGATTACGATTGTAAGATTCAATACCATCCGGGGAAGGCGAACGTCGTTGCTGACGCCAGAAGTCGTAAGGTGAGGGGTGACTTGACGTACGTCGTTACTCAGCAGAGCCGTTTGATTCATGAATTCGCCCGGATGCAGATTCAGGTAGTTTATGCACTTCCCACAGCCATTACGGGGAGTGTGAGTGCAATGCAGATTCAGCCGACGCTGAGAGAGAGAATCCGGCGGGAGCAGGCTTCTGACGAGTTCGTTCGTGTCATGGATGCCAAAGTCTGCGCCGGAGGCGTCGAGGGTTTTCAGCGAGGTACCGATGGTGCCTTAGAGTTCCGTGGCAGGATTGTAGTGCCGAAAGTCGAGGCGTTGCAGAAGGAGATATTGACAGAGGCTCATACCGCACCCTATCTAGCCCATCCAGGAAGCACAAAGATGTATCATGGCCTGAAAGGGTCGTTCTGGTGGCGAGGGATGAAAAAGGACGTTGTCGACTTTGTCAGAAGATGTTTTACCTGTCAGCAAGTCAAAGCCGAACATAAGTGTCCGATAGGCCTCCTGCAGCCACTACCGATTTCGAAGTGGAAGTGGGAGGAAGTCACGATGGATTTTGTCACGGGGTTACCAAGGTCATCTGAACATCACGATGCTATTTGGGTCATGGTCGACAGATTGACTAAGGTTGCTCATTTCTTACCAGTTTCGATGAAGATGTCTTTGGATAAGTTGGCTGAGATTTATACCCATAGGATCATTCGACTCCACGGAGTGCCTGTTACTATCGTGTCAGACAGAGATCCCAGATTCGTCAGTAGATTCTGGCAAAGTTTACACGAGGCGATGGGTACGAAGCTAGAGTTCAGTTCAGCCTACCATCCGGAGACTGATTGTCAGTCTGAGCGGACCATTCAGACACTAGAGGATATGTTGCGAGCTTTGGTTGTTGACATGGGTGCTAAGTGGGAGTCGTTGTTGCCTTACGTTGAGTTCGCGTACAACAACAGCTATCATTCTTCTATTCAGATGGCTTCTTACGAGGAACTTTACGGTCGTAAGTGTCGTTCCCCTCTTTATTGGGATGACATCGGCGAACGTCGAGTACTCGGTCCGAAGATGATCGAGGAAACCGCAGATCAGGTCGAGTTGATCCAGCAGAGGCTCAAGACTGCTTAGAGTCGACAGAAATCCTCAGCCGATCAGCATCGATGAGATATTCAGTTTGAGGTTGGCGAGCCAGCTTTTCTCAGAGTTCGTCCATTTCGCGGAGTTGTTCGATTCGAGAAGAGAGAGAAGCTGCACCCTCGATTTATTGGCCCCTTCGAAGTTCTCGAGCGAGTGGGCAAAGTCGCGTACCGATTAGCCTTACCTCCCGAGTTATCCAGCGTTCATAATGTTTTTCATGCATCCATGTTGCGTAAGTACGTGTACGACCCCGATCATGTCATTCCTCATACGGATATTCAGATTCAGCCATATCTATCTTACAAGGAGCGACCGGTAGCTGTACTGGACCGTCAGGTTCGTCGGCTCCTGAAGCGAGATGTTCCCCTCGTTCATATTCAGTGGGATCTCCACGGAGCTACTTCTGAGTAGAAGGCTGATATTCGCGCTCGTTTTCCCGATTTTCAGTTTTGATGTACATATTTTCTTATGTTTCATGTATATTCAATATCGATTTGTATTTCCGAGGACGAAAATTTTTCAGGAGGGAGGATTGTAATATCCCGTCATGTTAGTAATATAAATCATGTGTTTAGTTCCGATATAATATTATTGATTATTATTTTCAGAAATAATTATTTCAGTCGAGATTATCCGAAATTATTTTCGACGTCACGTTTTCGTTCGGAATAATTTTCGTAATTAAGTATCATATTTAGTAATTAATTAAGCATATAGATTATGCTTAATTAGTAATTAATCATGCTCAAATCAATAAATGTCATATGCATTTTGGAGGTATTCATTTAAATTCTCTAAAAGTGTCGTAAGCATTTTTTTATGTAAGATCATTTGAGATGTCTTTGAATGAGTAGAATGAGGTGGCAATATAATAAGGGTCTAAGTGATGACTAAGGGAATTAATGGGTGATTAAGCACCTTAAGTTCCCAACATCTAGCACATGGTGTAAGATTATTGGACAAATTATTTTCCCCACCTCTTCACTTCATTTTCGGCTATATATATAGTATATGTTGGGAGAATTTTGCTCCTACACACCTTAGAATATATGTGCTAAGTATAGAGAGAATTAGAGAGTTTCCTTAAGCGAGGGTTGCACACGTAAGCTTCGGCCATACGCACGGACGCGTCGAGCTTCAGGTGTTCCGAGCGTTTAGCACGATCAAGTGAGATGTTGAAGAGGTAATTGCTTGGGACCTCTTTTCTGTAGTTAATATCATTGTCATGAGAATCGAGTTCATATTGTAGCCTTAAGTTGCTCTCGGCCATGCGTATTAGATCGTGACAATCATGTTCAGTTTTGATTAAAAAACTCTCGAGCAATTTTCATGAATTCAGTTATTTTATATCATTTCATGTTCAGTTAGTTCATGTTGGTCGAGAGATTTTTATGTTTAGTCGGTTAATTGGCCAAGAGATGTGGTCGCGCACGTAGCGCGTGCCACGGGCCGTGCATGTTTAACGATCATGTTAGATAATGGTCCTTCGAGCAATTCATGTTGGTTTGATCAGTAAAAGTTATTTAATGTTCAGTTATGAGTTAGTTGTCGAAGAAAAATCAAGTTTGGTCGAGAATCGGCTTAACGCCGTAGGCGGCGCACGATGCGCACGCCACCGGCCACCTTAGCTCATCTTGCAAAAATTCATGATTTTGAGTATTTATAGCAGATTTGGTCATGTCAAGTCATTTCATGTTATTTCATGTTAAAACGGTCGAGAGAAATCGCCGGACTGCCGGCAAGGGCCTGTCGTGGCCGCGCTGTCTGCACGCAGCGGCAGCAGCGCGCCGGCAGTCAGTGATG